TTGACATCGGTAAGCAAAATTTTTTTTTTTTAATTTTTTTTTTTTCAACGTTTTTATTTATTTATGGGACAGACAGAGACAGAGCATGAACGGGGGAGGGGCAGAGAGAGAGGGAGACACAGAATCGGAAACAGGCTCCAGGCTCCGAGCCATCAGCCCAGAGCCTGACGCGGGGCTCGAACTCACGGACCGTGAGATCGTGAGATCGTGACCTGGCTGAAGTCGGACGCTTAACCGACTGCGCCACCCAGGCGCCCCGGTAAGCAAAATTTTTGATGAATTATAGTACTTACCAACTCTCATGACCATCACCTGACAAAAATCATATTATAAAAGGAGCAGTTACATAAATGCAGAGAATAGACTGGTGGTTCCCAGGGGTGGGGGGCAGCGGCGGCGAATGAAAAGGGTGAAGAAGGTCAAAAGGTATCAATTTCTAGTCATAAAATAAGTAAGTCAAGTTAACTATAGTTAGAAATACTGTGCAACATATTTCTAAGTTGCTAAGAGTAGATCTTAAGAGTCCTCATCATGCGGAAAAAAAGTAACTATACATGGCGAGAGATGTTAACTAGACTTGTTGTACCGATCAATTTACAATATATACGTGTATAAAATCATTATACTGTACACGCGAAACTAATATGTTTGATGTTAATTACACCACAATTAAAAAAAAAAACAACAGTCTGGTCACTGCAAACAAAAGCAGCTAATTAATACTATTTTCCAAAACAGTATCTATTTTAAAATTTGTATTCCTCCACTTTTGCTGGCGTATCTCTGACTTTCACCAAGTGTTTTTACTAATCCAGGACTCCTCATACAGCTGCGAAGTTCTGTATATATTATTCTACTTTTTTTCTTGCCTATTTTATTCTCCCTTTGGTCTTTCTGAATCTCTCTGATATTCCTTTTTCTCTCTTTTCTGACGTCCCTCTTTTTCTTCCTTCCCTTTCTTTTTTACTTCTCCTTTTGGGTTTTCCCCTATTCTCTTTTTTTTTTCCCCTTTGCTTCTTTATGTGATTTTTTTCCTCCCTATTTCCTTCCCTCCCTCCCTTACCTTCTTCTTTCCATTTTTACTCACTTTTTTTTTTTATTGAATTGAGTATGAAATGAGTTTAGTATTTCCTGTTTTAGTGAATAAAAATTATGGCCCTTGTGGGATGATTCACATTTATCCAAGAAAAGTTTTTCTTTCCTTTTTAAGTTGTCATTGATTGTTATTCATATCAGTCTTCCTTTGGAGCAAGAGATTTTTAAGTTGCTGTTCTCAATCATCTTTTATTCTCTCTGGATTGCTGCCTACTTTGAAATTACCATTTGCTAATTAATAGTATTACTTTAAAATCCCAAACTCAAATTTTAGTTGCAATTGTGTAACTATTTTTCATGTGGCTTTAATAACAAAATTAAATTCTGGGCACTGGGGGCAGAAAGTACCAAGGGTAATTTTTTATCCTATCTTTTCAACAGATACTCTTTATATATTACTAAAAATAGAAATTAGAAATAAAAATAGTGAATATAGTATTCTTTGATTCATCGTATACACATTTGAAATCAATTCATTTTATTTTATTATTTATTAATGTTTATTAATAAATATTTTTAATGTTTATTTATTTTTGAAGGAGAGAGAGACAGAGCATGGGCAGGGGAGGGGCGGAGAGAGAGGAAGACACAGAATCTGAAATGGGCTCCAGGCTCCCAGCTATCAGCACACAGTCCGATGGCAGGGCTTCAACTCATGAGTCACGAGATCATGACCCGGGCCGAATTCGGACACACTTAACTGACGGAGCCCTCGGGTACCCAGAAGTCAATTACCTTTAACTTTGGTCTAAATGATTTTCCAATGAACAAGAACTTCCTTAACTCATAATTTGTACATCATCTGGAATCAAGTACCCCGTACAACTCTAAAAATTCTTCCTCCTTTATTTACCATCTCTTGCTTCCGGCCCGAATTTTCCTCTATCACTCCCTGGCAGTGACTACAAAAGAGGCTTATAGTAGCTATGAGTTAACAGAAGTGGACAGAATGAAAGAGGTATCTGCTAATAGCCATTGCACAATAAAATAGACGTCGGAAATGCAGTTTTAAATATGACGCGTTCTTTCTCAGCGCACGTATTGACGAAGGAGATGAAATGTGCCTTACCTCCTCGCTTGTTGATCTTGGCGTAGCCGGGAGAATAGCTCCCAGATGTGGAGGACGAGCTGCTGAAAGCCCCATGGGGGAGTCCGGACACGAGTGGCTCGTCACATTTTTCTGAAAAGAAGAGAAAAGAAGAGAGAGATTACATATCTTTCGACGACGACGCGTGTGTTTTAGTAAAAACAGTGGTCAAATACAATACACACATAAAAATCTGTGCAACCACATTTAGCAAGTGGTCAGAAGGGAGACAGTTCGACTGTGGTCATTTGAACACCCGAGTTTTAAGAGTTGGACCTACGACAAAACACTTTATGCGGAAGGGCCCCAGGGCAGACCTGCCGTCTAGGAATCACGAGGAAAGGTGGTGATGCTGATTTAACAAGCTTTGGGAAGGCTGACAGCCTCTGGAAATCTTTAGGGATTTATTCGTTACAAGGATAGAGGATAGAAACATTGATTGCAAACACAGAGATTGAACGAGGGAAGGCCAGGGGACATCCTACCTCAGCTGAAAGGCTGAGAAACAGGTGTCACCCTGAAAAGTACTGCCATCTGCAAAACTAACCAGTTCCCATCATTCTAGACCAGTCAACTGCTTTGGAACCAAGCGGCCCCTCATTTCCTTCCTTCACTTGGCTTCAGTGGCCCTTAAGCTTTTGTTTTTCCTCCTTCCCCACTACTGCTTGCTTTCTGATTCCTTTCATGGATCGCTCTCATTTTCCTCATGCCTCCACAATAAAGTGCCCAGGACTCAGCTCTTGGATCTCCTCTCATTCTGCACCTGCTCTCCGGGAGACTGCATCAGGGGCCGCGCGTTCTCATTCTGGAATACCCCAAATCCTACCCCCTCATATCACCTGGTCCAAGCAGCCACCAGTGGTCACTGTTGTGAAGGACCGGACAGTCTTCCTGCCTCCTCCCTTGCTTTTCTATCGTCCTGCACCCAGCAGCCTGAGGGACATTTGCACACCTAAGTGGCCAAGTGGCTGCTAGGCTCACAACATCCCCTGGCTTCTGCTCTCAATCTCTCAGAATAAAGTCTGAAGCCCCCAGTGGCCCACAGCAGCCGCAAGACTGGTCACATCTCTCTCTGGCATTCTTGTCCATTGCTGTCTACCACCAGAGCCCCCTGCCTCTTACTGCAACATCAGGCCAGCTCCTGCTGTGGCCTTTGCAATTATTCTTCCAGCTACCATGAGGCTCTTCCCTCTGGTCTCTCTGCGCACAATGTCACCTTTCACCGCTGCGGACAGACTTCCGTAGTCTACCCAGCTAACGAGCATGATGTGACCATCACTCTCCTTACCTGCTCTTTGCTTTCTGCTCCTTCATAGCTCTCAGAGCCACCACACATGTATGTTTTTCCTCATTTCATTGTTTGGTTTCCTTTCTCTCCCACTAGACTGGAAGCTGTGTGCGAATCAAGTTTTTGATAGTTTGCCTAATGCTTACTCTCCAGTAACGTGAACCACACCTGGCACCTGGTACACGCTCTAAAAACATTTGTAGGATGAAGGAGTGAGTGAACGAATGACAAGAAGAGCCACCTAAACCTGAGAACCACAGCGTCCCAAAACACACTGCTGACTTACAAGATGGCGCAACACCTTATCGTCAAGAGAGGTGGGTCTTAAATAGCCAACACATGTTTTTTACACATGCTCAGTTGTCTGTTTAATAAGACAGAGAGTTACACTACATATTCTAGAATGCTTGCTACCTCAGATCTTTATAAACAGAAGAAAACTTCAGCAACAGAAGGAATGAACTCGTTCTCTTGAAAAGTCACTCAAGTGGAGGGAAGTCCCAGTGATGCTGGAGAAATGAGTGATGACTCATTATCTCACCACTCAAGTGTGTACAAATCCGAAGTTAAAAATGAACATCTCCATCCTCGTAAAATATAGTTAGATTTCTTATTTTCCTTTGTTATACTGCAAGTGCCTCTGGGAAATATGGCATATGCATATGAATATATTCCCCCAGGAAGCTAAATGTAAAACAATGAAAAAATGAACATCAAATTTATTTATTTTTATTTTTTATTATTTTATTTTATTTTATTTTATTTTATTTTATTTTATTTTATTTTAATTATTTCATTTTATTTGAGAGAGACAGCGTGTGTGTATGCACATGCATGAGCAGGGGAGGGGCAGAGGGCGAGACAGTGTTAAACAGGCTCCACACTCAGCCACATGGGGGCTGGATCCCATGACTGACCCTGGGATTATGACCTGAACCAAAATCAAGAGTCAGGACACTCAACTGATTGAGCCACCCAGGCGCCCCATAAAATTTATTTAAGGTTTCAGTTCACAAAGTGAAAATCTACAGTGAAGGATTTTGTATTAAATAAAAAAAAATTTTGCTATTCAGTTTAGTTGCCAGGGAGCACAAATACAAAACCTTGATTTTGAATCTGCTGACTCTTTTGAGTCTAACTTTTTATGATCTTGGGACACAAGTTTTGCATTTATCTGGAGTCATCATTACTCCGAAATTTTCCCTTCTATTAGGAATGTGCTAACGTTTATTCATGTCTGTCTCATTCATTCAAACGTGCACCCAGCGCCTATGCTGGGCCAGGGGCAGCAAATGCAGCCGCAGATAATATTGACAACATGCCTGTCACGGAATTTATGTTTTAGTGGAAACCAAAAACTAACTAAAACAAAAACGAAAAAATAGGTAAAAGCATAAAAGTTTATAGTATGAGATGGTGACGAATACTCTGGACACATTAAATATGGAAGAAGGGGCAGGTAGTTGGGGGGTAGGGTAGAGGTTGAGAGCGGCTGTTTTTCGCTGCTTTGTCAAGGAAAGTCTCTTTGATTAGGTGACATCTGAGTAGTCATCTGAAGGAAATGAGGTGAACTCTTAGAAATCAATAAAACCACGCGGGGAGAAACGTCTTCCAGTCTAAACCTGCTCGATAGGGCAAGCTTATACCCGATAACGAGCGATGCATTTTCCAAAAGGGAACATTCAATGCATAGAGTTGCGTTGAAAGTAATTAAAATGAAGTTAATGAATAATTGATTAAATGATCCATTAGCTAGTTGCAATTTAGAATTTAAATATAGCATTTATAAAACCTGAACATAGTGTATCCTTATTACATTTAAATATTTTTCACTTCCACCACAAATCGATCATCTTCGTATCAAATTTTAAATTTTTCACTAATTAAAAAAAAAATCATGGGGCACCTCGGAGCCTAGAGCCTGCTTCGGATTCTGTGTCTTCCTCTCTCTCTCTCTGTCCCTCCCCCACTCATACTCTTTCAAAAATAAATAAACATTAATTTTTTTTTTTTTTTAAAAAGAATGCTACATGTTCTGTATGTTCTCCTGGAAGGCTTTACTAACAAATACTAAGATCTCGATAAATGCCTTGTACCGTTCTGGCCACTTTAGGCAATAAAAAAATATAGCCCACTTCCCCATGAGTCCAATAATACATGGACCCACATAAAGTAACTAAGCAGGAAACAAGAGCATAATATCACTTTGTAATTCAGTGCTGAACAAAATATAATCAAGTACTGAAAGAAACAAATTTAAAACGCAGGGCTGCTGTTTAGCGAATTGCTTGCTATTCTTGCTCCATCATAAATACGTGACCTTGACTATGTCACTGACCTTCCTTTCTACAGATGACTCACTCATCATATGAGCACATTAGTTAAGTTTCTCTCAAACTCTAAAACTTTCAAGCACTTTCAAGTACAGGAGTCCACAAACTATGTCCTACAGGCCAAATGTGGCCCCTGGCTCACTTTTGTAAATAAAGTTTTATTGGAACACACCCAGGCCCTCTTCTTTATGTATTATCTACGGCTGTTTTCAAATCCACAGCAGAATGTCACAAGCAGAGACCATATAACCTCGCAAGCTAAAATATTTACTATCTGATCTTTGACAGAAAAAAAGTTTCCCAACCTCTGGTCTAGCGTTAATAAATAGTCCAGGTATCCACAAAGAAGAATGATTAATCATCATTTGTGGTATCAGGTAACATAAATAATGACTATAACCTTAAGAATGAGGGAATGTAGATAGATAGAAAGAGGTTTAAGAAGATTCTAGAAAGAGGGAACAGCTCAAGCAAAATCATGGAGGCCACAACGGGCATCGAATTTCCCAGGATGGTTGCAGCAGCCCTGCTGTGCATGTACATAGCATATACAGATTATTATGATGAACTCTCCATTTTTATTTCCAACTGTAATAATCGTTATTACATATTACTTATTCCAAAGAGCTTGCTTGTTGTGTTAGAACATGTGTCTTAATATTCTGCAGACATTAAATATTAGTAAATCAGGCAAATCCCTGGAGAAAGTTAGAATTTTTATAGGGGAGGAGGAGGTGTGGGGGGCGGTGGTTGCTAACATTTGAAATAATTTAGTATTATATCTTCCCATATTGGGATGTCTTCCAAAACTACGGCCACACAGCTACGGCAAATATTTGGTCTCTAGTGTATTCCTCTTCCAGGGAATCTTGGATGAAAACTAAAGAAGCAGATGGGCCTTCGGTTTTATTTTCACACAATTTCAGTCAATCAGGAAGTCAGACTAACTGGAGGAATACTGTACTAATTCAAGCTGGAACAGAGGAGATTACAGGCAAATAAAGATCAAATGGCTGTTGCCCTTCACCTCGGAAAGAGTGGCTGAGAGGGACGGATCTGTATTGGCAAAGGGATATGGGCAGGAGTCTGCAAGGTCAAAGAACTTTAGAGTGCATCTAACCGACATTAAAGATGGCATTCAAATGCATCTCTGATCGAAAGGAATATCAGAGAAAAAATAAATAGAAACAAAGATAAAAGTAATGTCGGGGAATTTTCACAACACAGTGTCTTTTAAAATTATAGCAATGAGGGGCGCCTGGGTGGCTCAGTCGTGGAAGCATCCGACTTCGGCTCAGGTCATGATCTCACGGTCTGTGGGTTCGAGCCCCGCATCGGGCTCTGTGCTGACAGTGGGGAGCCTGGAGCCGGCTTCGGATTCTGTGTCTCCCTCTCTCTCTGCCCCTCCCCTGTTCATGCTCTGTCTCCCTCTCTGTCTTGCAAAAACAAATACAAATGTTAAAAATTTTTAAAAATAAAATAAAATTGTAGCACTTAACATATACGTCTTCTATCACACATTTGGAAACATGAGCCTGCTGCACAGAACACAAGAACAACAAAGGACTCCAGAACCAGGGTTCTCAGGACGGAAACTCTACCAACATCCCCATTCATACTTCACTGAAAACAAAAACAGGAACAAACAAACAAACAAAAAAACGACTGTGAAAGGCTCATTGTCAGAGGAATACATCCCTGGGTGGACTCTTGAAGTCTGGTGCCTTCAACTTATAACTTTAGAAGCTGGAGCTACATTACCTCCGCCTGCAGATGTGTGCCCTGCCTCAGGTTTTATGACCCCCTCCTCTCCACGGTCAGGACAAATTTAAGAGGCCAGCCGTCCGTCTGGCCTCCTCTCTCTCCAACCAATGTGCTTCTGCCTTGCTCCTTCTGGCCAAAACTACCTCGAATCACAAGCTGAATCACTGGGATCTGTACTCTCTCCGGCAGCCCCGGGAGTATCTCGGGTCCTTCCAGAGATGTTCTGTCTCCCCGTCACATTCACGCCAGGGGCCTGCGTCCCGTCGCAGGGCTCCAAGTCGGCCTCCGGCTCCTCAATTCCCTTGTGCCCTGTCTGCCCACCCACAGGCCTGACTGCTGCCAATGATCTTATTCCCCGGCCTGAGTGCGCAACTACCCGTGAAGCCACTTCGTGGGCACTGTGTCCGACCTATCGCTTCCTGTGCCGTCCCCTGATCCCATTTGCCCGACCTCCTAGACAACAGGCTGTTGGCTGCCGTGCTTCAAAGGCATCGGGGGAGACCCCATGAACAACTAAAGCGTGCTCTCTCGTCTGGCCTCGTGGAGAGTTGCAGCATTTGAATGAGTAGGAGACTGAAGTCTCCACTCAGGCACTTCTTGGCTCATCACCGAGGTCAGTCTACCCACTTCGGGGCTTCAGAGACTCTTAAGCAGCGTCGCTTTGCACACTGTGACCACGGAGAGACTTGCATGGGATCTAGCACACCTGTTTGTCAGAGGCTCTATTCCCAGGACTGTGATTCTTTTTTTTTTTTTTCTTCCCATTTCCTTTTCAATAAAGAAAGAAAGAGGAAAAGAAAGAGAGAAAAGAAAGAAGAGAGGGAGGGGGAAAGGCACACGGTGCGAACGGTAACCTTAAAGATGTTTCTTAACAGCTGTG